CAGGAACAATTAAGTCTGAGACGATTGACTGATATTTGTAAAAGGAACAATCAAGTTTGAAACAATTGATTAACATTTTGCAAATTCAGTGTTTACTTTATGGTTCTCAGATATTACTAAAACGTTCTGTAATTTAGTGTTCACATATATTAGGTTGTGCCCACTAATATTCTCACTCACTACACTACTTGTTTCCGCGTTATCTCTAAACGGCGTTATTAAATACGACTAAATAATACGTCTAATAATCCACGTCTTATCCAATAGTCGAGATTATTTTTTTCCGCGAACACAACATTTTCTTTTCTATCAACATCATCTTGTTACCCAGAGAAGATTTGTCGAGAACTGCATCAATGTACACCATAACTTAGTTGAAAAGTTTGTAATTTACAGGAATCCTTGGTTTACGCTAGATGCTTGCTAATGCACCAGTCATTGAATAGTAATTATTGTTACGGTTACTAGTATTCTATTTGTTGATTTGATCACCCATAACTCTCCTACAACTTACCCCTAACCTAATCATCATCAAACACCTAAGTAGATTAGTTATTGAACATAAGTAATGTACTTCACATTCACTATAATCTATGGAGATTCACAGATTCTTCGACTGATTTTAAATTTCTTACCCGATATTCTATATCAGGTTTCAACAGTGATTATTCACATGAACGTTGGATATTACTTCATTGTAATTTATTTTAATACAAGAGAATGGAATTTCGCATAACTTACTTACTTACGCCTGTTACTCCTCGTGAAGGAGCATAGGCCGCTCACCAGCATTCACCATCCAACCCTGTCCTGGGCAGTCCTTTCCAGTTGTTATTCATTCTTTTCATGTCTGAATCTATTTCCCGACGTGATTGCGTTCTTTGGCCTTCCTCTTTTCTCCTTCCCTTCAGGATTCCGAGTTAGGGCTTGCCTCGTGATGCAGTTTGATGATTTGAGTAATGTATGTCCTATCCATTCCCATCGTCTTTTATTAATTTCCTCTTCATCTGGAAGCTGGTTTGTTCTCTCCCACAGAAGGCTATTGCTGATGGTATCCGGCCAATGTATGTTGAGTATCTTGCGAAGACAGCTATTTATAAATACTTGTACCTTCTTGATGTTGGTTGTATTAGTTCTCCAAGTTTTAGCTCCGTACAGTAGAACTGCCTTGACGTTCGTATTGAAGATTCTCACTTTGATATTGGTTGAAAGTTGTTTTGAGTTCCATATGTTCTTCAATTGTAGGAATGCGACCCTTGCTTTGCCAATCCTCACCTTTACGTCTGCATCTGAGCCTCCTTGTTCATTGATGATGCTTCCCAGGTATGTGAAGGATTCTACATCTTCCAGAGTTTCGCCATCAAGTGTGATTGAATTGATGTTCTCCGTGTTGTATTTGAGGACCCTGGTTTTCCTTTTGTGTATACTGAGGCCTACTGATGCAGAGACTGCTGCTACATTGACTGTCTTCGTCTGCATCTGTTCGTGTGTACGCGATAGGAGGGCTAGGTCATCTGAGAAGTCCAAATCGTCTAATTGGTTCTGAGCTGTCCATTGTACGCCGTGTTTCTCCTCAAATGTCGAGGTCTTCATAATCCAGTCGACCACCAGAAGAAAAAGGAAGGGAGAGAGTAGACAGCCTTATCTGACTCCGATCCTTACTTGGAATGCATCTGTTGGCTGTCCTCCATGCATGACTTTGCAGTGTGGTCCGTTGTATGAATTCCCGATGATATTGACGATCTTATCATGTAAAGCATAGTGTCGAAGAAGTTTCCATAATGTTCTCCTATCTACATTGTCCAACGCCTTTTCATAATCAATGAAGTTGATGTATAGTGGCGAGAATCTCGCATAACAATCTCTTATATCTTACTGTCGTATATGTAATGATTTTCAAATGTATAGCCTAGTATACATACATATGGAACATTATCAATATAAGAGAATAGGTTTCACAAGTTATTATAATTATTTGTTGAAAAATATAGCTTGCTTCTAGTTTATTACATATGAAAAAAAAGTATAATAAAATTGATATCTTATTTTGATTATTATGTTGTTCATTGTATATGATAATTAAAAGTATTCGAATTAATGTGCTAAGAATTTCTGAAAGTGTAATTTAAGGCAGGTAGGACCAAATGAACATAAATGAACGTATTATAACTAAAATTTTCTTCCTTCCATTAAACTTAGTACGTGCAACTATCAAATCTTTAAGTAAAACATCAGATTGTATATGTTCTTTCAAAGATTAAATATTCTCCATCGTGTTGATTTCATGGTTTGATAAATTGAATAAACAAAATCCAATGTTGACCCCGATTATTTAAACATTTAACTGAATTATATTGTTCAGAATATATATATATATAATTTTGAATAATTTTTTTTGGTTAGCGTTTTTTTAGCGAGTTAGTTTTCTATGGGATGGGGACGCTAACCCCATGCCCAACCCTCCTCCTTTATCCGGGCTTGGGACCGGCAGTAGCCCCCGGAGGGACTCCAGGCAGAGTGCCTCAGAAGATAGTCAATATCATACAGAATTCATATGATGGATTACACTGCAAAATCGTGCATGGAGGACAGTTGACAAAGTCGTTCGAAGTGAAGACCAGTGTCAGGCAAGGTTGCTTACTCTCACCCTTTCTCTTTCTCTTGGCGATCGACTGGATCATGAAGACGTCAACGTCTGAAGGGAAACACGGGATACAATGGATATCTACGATGCAGTTGGACGATCTAGACTTCACAGATGATCTGGCCCTTCTATCCCAAACGCAACAACAAATGCAGGAGAAGATGACCAGTGCAGCAGCAGCCTCAGCAGCAGTAGGTCTCAATACACACAAAGGGAAAAGCAAGATTCTCCGATACAACACAGCATGCACCAATCCAATCACAATTGACGGAGAAGACTTGGAAGATGTAAAAACCTTTACATATCTGGGCAGCATCATTGATGAACAGGGTGGATCTGATGCAGATGTGAAGGCGCAGATCGGAAAAGCGAGAGCAGCATATTTACAACTGAGGAACATCTGGAACTCAAAGCAACTGTCAACCAACACCAAGGTCAGGATTTTCAACACAAATGTCAAGACAGTTCTACTGTATGAAGCGGAAACCTGGAGAACTACGAAAGCCATCATCCAGCAGATACAGGTGTTTATTGACAGTTGTCTACGCAAAATACTTCAGATCCGTTGGCCGGACACTATTAGCAACAACGTACTGTCGGAGAGAACAAACCAGATCCCAGCGGAGGAAGGAATCAGGAAGAAGCGCTGGAAGTGGATAGGACACACATTGAGGAAAGCACCCAACTGCGTCACAAGACAAGCCCTCACATGGAATCCTCAAGGCCAAAGGAGGAGAAGAGGAAGACCAAAGAACACATTACGCCGGGAAATGGAAATAGACATGAGAAAAATGAACAAGAATTGGATGGAACTAGAAAGGAAGGCCCAGGACAGAGTGGGTTGGAGAATGCTGGTCGGTGGCCTATGTTCCATTAGGAGTAACAGGCGTAAGCAATATATATATATATATATATATATATATATATATATAATATAATATATATATATATATATATATATATATATATATATAGTGTCACTAAAGTTTGCGAAAACCTGTGAACACTTCATTAACTCAACTGTAATATGGTAAGTAGTCTGTGCTAAATTAGTAAGTGTTAAATTTTAATTTAGCGTAAACATATAAATTTACACACTACACAAACTGGAGTACAAATGGAAAATGCATGCTGTAAACTTTATTGTTTAGAACATAGTATACAACTAAATGGTTTGATACAAACTATTGAATTCTTTAATCAACAAGATAGTATGTTTAATACAATTTTCTCCAGCAAAATTCCGGAAAATACGCATTAAATGTTTCATTTATAGATTTAGAACCTAGTGTTATTGATGAAGTGAGAACTGATCCACACAAACAACTATTTCATCCAGAACAAATAATCACAGGAAACGATGCGACAAGTAATCATCCTCGAGGCCACTATACGATTAGCAAAGACAGTATTGGCCTGATTCTTGATCGCATTAGAAGATCTGCTGATCAGTGTACGGTTTTCTTAATTTTTCATTCATTTGAAGGAGGTACTTGGTCTGGATTACATCATTGTTAATGGAGAGATTGAGCATAGAATATGGTAAACAGTTTAATCTTGAATTCGCTGTTTATACAGCAATAAAGATTGCTACAGCTGATGCTGAACCATACAATACAATTATTACCACCCATGCAACACTAGAGCATCCAGATTGTGCTTTCATGGCGGATAAACAGGCAATTTACTATATTTGCGGGTAACTAACATGTGACAGTTACAAACCAGTTGAATTTTATTTTCTCAGGAAAATTCATCTATTTGTTTATTTAAACACAAATGTTAGTACGAGGGAGCAACAAATACACATGCGCCACACTTTAACATATGATTTGTGTGAGGGACGGCATACCGCACGAGTGCCCAAACCGAAGTACGTAGTTTTCTAAGGGGGCCACACCCGGAGTCTTAGACCTAAAGGTCCAACCCATGAGACAGCGGAGAAACGTAAGGAGATGCATTCTCGTGGCAGCCGGTGACCAACAATAGGTTTATACGCCATTTGGTTCTTCAGAATCCTGGAGCCCATGTTCACCATTGGGTCGAAATCAGGGTCTTCCAACCCCGCTAGGTGGGCCTCCATATCCATCGATCCGGTGAAAGCACCGGACATTCGCCTTTTGTCCTCTCAATTTCGTAAACAAAACCCCCACCTCGAGGCGGTGAGTAGGACTTTCCTGGCAGTGGTTGCATATGAGTGACCATGTAAGTGAATTTCGGGAGGGAGAGCGGACTTCCCACCCTCAACCGTACCCGGGCATTCGGGGGCCGTAACATAAGAAGACCTAATTATTCAAATCTAACGAGACTGATCGCTTGAATTTTTACTTCCATCACTGCTTTGATTTTCTTTCAAATGATTAAACGTGACCTACGTACTGGGAAATATATGGCGTATTGCTTATTATATCGTGATGTTACTCCTAAAGATGTTAATATGGTCATCGCAAGTATAAGAACAGAACAGTCCAATTTGTTGTCCAACTGGATTCAAAGTTGCAGTTAATTGTCAACCTCCAGCATCCAGACATAATGGTGACTTAGCTCAAGATCAAAGAGCTGTACGTATGCTAAGTAATACAACTGCAATTTCAGAAGCATGGATGAAACTGGATGGTAAACTTGATTTAATGTATTCGGAACACGAATTTGCTCATTGGTATGTAAATGAAGGTATGAAAGAAAGTGAATTCAGTGAAGCATAAGAAGATATAGTTACTTTGAAAAGATTATGAAGAGATTAGTCAATAAACACTTAACAGAGGTGAAAACGGATTTCGACTGTTACTTTTACAGGAGCTTCACCCAGTCAGTCACAACGTACAACTTCGCACGTACGTACATCAGTTCGAGTTGCTATACCACATTAGCAGAGAGATACAATTGTCGATTCAAATCCCATGGTGGTAGAGGTAGTAAACGTATAAGCAGTGATCAGAAAGATTAGTTTTTGAATATGTTATTCAAGGAGTATAATCCAGTGAAATAAATTTGGAAAGAGAAGAAAGGGCACGAAGAATTCAGAAGATTGGAATATGGGAAAACACAAAGAGTGGATGCACCTGCGCCATCGCAAACGATTTTGAGTCATGTCATTCAAAGTCTCTAACCATCGGTTGCCATCGTCTCGCAAATCCCAACCAGGTAGTCTACACCTGCCAACATGGCTCAGTCCACTTGTCAATGACTTCACGGATTTGTGCCATGTTTGGTCTCGCGATCCCTAGCTTTATTCCAACCTATTCCTAAACTATAAAACATAGCACGTCTGTGGTTGGGAATACGTAACACGTGTCCCGGCCATCTCAACTGATGAAGTCTCACTACTTCATCAATTGATTCGCCATCCTTACCTAGTACCCGTTTCCTAACAACTACATTACTTATTCGGTGGTCCCAGGATATACGAGCAATGTTTCGAAGACAGCTATGATCGAATACTAGTAACCTACTGTTATCCTCTACTCTTACCGGCCATGTTTCACTGCCATAAAGTAGGACGGAACGAACTGCTGCGCAGTAAACACGTCCTTTGGTTGATAGACGGATATCTCACCTACGCCATAAATGGCTCGGGTTAGAAAAAGCTAGTAGAGCCTTCTCTATCCGTGCTGAGATTTCGTCACACACCAGAACACAAGAGTTGATGAGATTCCCAAGATAAGTGAAGCGGTTGACACGCTCAACTACTCCACTCCCTATCATTAGTTCATGTGTCCGTTCAACCCAATCCTGAAGCAACATTTTGCATTTCGAGGAAGGGAATCGCATCCGAATGTGCTTGCATTGTTGATTAGAGTGGTCAGAAGACTGCATTCTGTAAGCGCATATATATTGGCGCTCTCTTGTACCAATGTTCATGTGTCCAAATAAATAAAATAATAAATATTCTGTAAGCGTCTTCACCAAAAAGAACTATGTCATCGGTATATTCCAAGTCAGTAAGTGAATCTCCCGGTAAAAGTTCAGGAGCCTCACTAACTACTGAGAGCAAATCAATTGCGATCAGTCAGGTATATTCAGATGAAATGATCATACCTTTTGTTTGGATAATTATTTGCAATATATTGTTCGTTTTAACTATACTCTTTCAATGGGTCAACACGTTATCAAATGGATAATATATGTATGGTTTATCATTTTTGTGCCTTAACGCTACGCAAGTGTAGAAAATTGTATGAAGTAGTGGTAGTCTATGGGATACCCAAAACACCTGTATTCGTACCAATGAACTAAAAGGAGAGGCGGCATCCCAGCATTATATGACTATACGGTGATGCATGTTACTTATGTTGATATGTATAAACAGTATATAGCACCGGTTAGAGGTGAAGTGCCTGAGAGCAGAAGAATGATAACACAGAAAACTAAGAGCAATCGAGATAACAGATATGAAGGAACAATGAAGTTTGTAAGGAAAAATTCGAAGATGTGCAAATTACGTATCTAATGTATAGTTTTCACATTTTACTGAACCACTGTGACTTCGAACTGAACAAATTGGTTCGCCCACCTGAGTCCTTCGTTTACAACAGTACTACATCACCGGTAGAGGACGACTACGAAGAAGCTCAAGTATCCTCTAGCTACCTTTAGAGATACTATACCGTAGAGACCCCTTCCCATCCGGTTCCTATAAACCCCGCATCCGTACTCTAGACATCGTGACCATGAAAAAAACTCAATATTTTGGTTAGTTACATAAGCTCGCATAGGTTAATTCATTGGACCCGATGGAATACAACCTAGATTCTCAAAAATCCAGCAGATTTCTATCGCGAATCTCTTAAACATGTTTCGATCTACTTATAACCCAAGGTAGATTAGTAAAGAACTGGAAGAATGCCAAATTAAGTCATGTCTTCGAAACAAGTACGAAACAAACCTGAGAAACATTGATATGCAAGGCCAACCAGCATGGTTGTTTAGATTTTAGAGGTTATTCGGAAATATCTAGGCGAAAATCTGGTCCTTTCTGAAAGGTAGCACGGTTTCAGGGAGCCCGTGAGAGTTGGTGTTATATCGACTAAAGGGTACCTATGAATGTAGCCTTCATCGACTGCAGTAAGGCTTCTGACAAACCTCCACACATCATTCTGTTATTTAAATCAAATAATATCGGGACTAGAGGCAACTTATTTATGTGGATAAGAACTTTCCTCGTTGGGGATCAACCCCAGGTGTTCTAACCGAGATACTGTACTTAGTGGAGTCCTGGGATAGTTTCGGTACGTATTATTCCTACAGTATGTAAATAACCTTATCCTATCATCGAATTCGTTATATGCTGACGGTATCAAGAAATGGGGAGCGAGAAAATGAAAGATTAGAGCCTCAAAATGACATGCAGCCATCTCATTACTCTAAAATTTGTCAATAAGGGCACCCATGTGTGATATAATGCATATTGGTCATCAAAATACAGATACATACATGACAAGTGACATTAAGCAACCAGTACCTCAGAAACACCCGACCGTTGTTGCTACCTTGACGTGGTGGTCGGGCTTGCCTATCGTGATGAAGCAACCGAGCTATACTGGCTGGAACAACCGTTCCTCAAGGTCCTACCATGTCAGACAGGTCGGTTGAAGAGCGGTAAGAATAAAAGCAACAAACCCAAGGTCCGAAGGCGAAGTCGTACTGCTGACTGTACAGAGGTGTGACAGCAGTAAGGTGTTTCCCTCGGACAACCAGCATAACAGCGATGCTGCCTTCCCACAAGGAGGGGTGGGGTTAGAAAAGGTCGACCCTAAAAATGCGCACCTCACCTTACCTCACGGGTTTCCGTCTCCGGCGGTAAGGCCCTTTGAAGAACGGAGCTAACACATCAAAAACCTTCCACAAAAAGGTCGTGTGTGACCGGCCTCAAGCAGTTGCCTCTTGGGCACTGCGGTCACGCTCTCAGGTCACTGAGACCGCCTCTAATCCAATTTCCTTTTCAGGTACCTCCAGAAGAACCCTTCCACGGTGTGGGCAACCGGGAAGTGATAACCGCCCTCATACCTCTAACAGCACCCAAGACCACTGTATTCATAATCAACCTTCCTCTTCAATTCCTATTATTCCTCCTACATCGACTTTCAACCCTAAACTTCCTCCTTCGGCTTCCTCCTCAAGTGTCACCATAGCCAACGATTCTAGTGCTCAAAACTCTGTCCCAGGTCTACTGAAACCTCGCTCCAAACTACACATTGGAGCTTTCAACGTACGCACTCTATGTCAAATCGGTCAGCAGGCTTCCTTGGCTAAAACCCTAGAGTCTCTTTCCATTGATGTATGCTGTGTCTCCGAAACACGCATACAGGATTCCAGTGTGGTCATTCACTTGACCTCACCTCGGCAAAACGGAGAGCCAACGAGATACACCCTTCGTGTATCTGGTGACCCGATGGCCAGTTCTCGTGGACTGGCAGGTGTAGGCATAGCACTAAGCATGAAGGCGGAACAAGCACTGCTAGAGTGGATCCCCGTCAACAGTCGCTTATGTGCTGTTCGGCTAAAGGGCTCCGTAAAAACTCGGAAGGATAGGGACACACGTCGTTGCCTTTTTGTCGTTTCTGCCTACGCTCCCACTGACTGCAGCTCAGATGATGTGAAAGATGAATTTTACAGAAAGCTGTCCGAACTTCTTCAGAAAGCTAAACGCTCAGACATAGTACTCGTAGGGGGTGACTTTAATGCTCAGATAGGTAGCTTAAACCAAACAGAAAGGCATTTAGGTGGATATTTTAGCATTCCGGCACAGCGAACAGATAATGGTGACCGTCTGCTGCAACTGTGCTCAGACAATCGTTTATTTTTAGCAAACACAAATTTTAAGCATAAGGAGAGACATCGTCTAACGTGGCGACCGCCTGCACCAAACCAGCGATGGACTCAAATAGACCATATTGCCATCAGTCATCGTTGGAGAGGGTCGGTAGAAGATTGTCGCTCATTCTGGAGTACCTGCTTGGACTCCGACCACGCCCTAATACGGGCACGCATCTGCTTGCGCCTCACTGGACGCAAAAAAGCCACAGTAAAAAGACCCATTAGAACCGAACTGAGTAGCGAGGAAACCAAAAGTAGGTTCCAGGAACAACTGAGGTCACGATTAGGTAGTTCTGAAAACAAGGCTGACCCAGATGTTGCTTGGAAAGCCATACAAACAGCTGTGGAAACAGCAGTGACATCTATCAGTGATTTAAACCACAAGGTTACAAAGAACCAATGGATTTCTTCAAAATCTATCACACTGATGGATTCTCGCAAACTCGTCCCATCAGGTTCCGAACATGATGAAGAGCGACAACAAATCAGATCTAGGTTAAGAAAAAGTCTAAGAAACGACCGTGAGCAGTGGTGGGCAACGAAAGCAAAAGAGATGGAAAAGGCGGCGACTATAGGGAACACAAGACAGCTTTACAGACTTATAAAAGAAACTGGAATTCATAAGTCAAGCGTAAGTGAGATTATATCGGAAAAAGACGATACACTCATCTGCTCCCAGTCCAGGCGTTTAGAACGATGGGCGGAACATTTCAGAGAACAGTTCAGCTGGCCTTCAGCTACTCTACAACTACCCTCCATTCCCAGACAGTGTGAATGGAACATTGAAGTAGGTCCCCCAACTCTTGCTGAAGTCCAAAAGGCTATAGTTAATCTAAAACGAGGAAGGGCAGCTGGTCCAGATGGATTGGCTCCAGAGGTCTTTAAGGATGGTGGTCCAATTTTAGCGATTAGGTTGACTAATATTTTAGCTAAAATCTGGGAGTTAGACGTTATTCCATCTAACTGGTCACAATCACTTAACGTCCCAATATATAAGAAAGGGTCAAAATCATCCTGTGATAACCATAGAGGTATTAATTTAACTAATATAGTATCTAAAATACTAGCCTCGATAATTATCAGACGCTTAACTAAGACTCGTGAACTGCAAACACGAGAGAATCAAGCTGGCTTCGGACCTTTTCGTGGCTGCATCGACCACATATTCACAATTCGTCAGGTCCTAGAACATAGGCATACTCGGTAGACCACGAGATTCTGTGGCAGTGTCTGTCATTGAAAGGCGTACCCCAGAAGTACATAAACCTTGTGAAGGCTCTTTACTCGAACACTACTAGTCGAGTCAGAGCTTATGGCGAACTGTCATCTACTTTTGCAACCTCAAGTGGTGTCCGTCAAGGCTGTCCACTTTCCCCATTTTTGTTTAACTTCATCATAGATCTACTGATAGAAATAACTTTCTCGTCGACTGAGTTCTCGGGTATTGATCTCCTACCAGGAGGTCCACTTATCGACTTAGAATACGCAGATGACATAGTCCTGTTTGGTGAAGACGCTGACAAAATGCAGAGTCTTCTGGTAGCACTGAGCAACAATGCCAGAATGTTTGGAATGCGCTTCTCTCCCTCTAAATGCAAGTTGTTGCTTCAGGACTGGTCTGCGTTAACACCTAAACTAAGGATAGGGAGTGAAGTGGTCGAACGCGTTGACAACTTCACTTATCTTGGAAGTCTGATCAGCCCTAATGGGTTGGTGTCTGACGAAATCTCAGCACGGATTCGAAAAGCCCGTTTGGCTTTTGCCAACTTACGTCACCTTTGGCGGAGGCGAGATATCCGTCTATCAATAAAAGGACGAGTTTACTGCGCGGCAGTTCGTTCTGTTTTAATTTACGGCAGCGAGACATGGCCCTTAAGAGTAGAAGACACCCGTAAGCTACTAGTATTTGACCACAGATGCCTTAGAAATATTGCTGGCATCTGCTGGGATCACCGGGTAAGTAATAGTGAGGTTAGACGCAGGGTATTAGGGAATGATGGTAAATCAGTTGATGAGGTTATGAATCTTCATCGGCTGAGATGGTTGGGCCACGTATTACGTATGCCTGAACACCGATTACCACGACGTGCGATGCTATCCGGTATTGGAGATGGTTGGAAGAAAGTTAGGGGCGGCCAAACCAAAACGTGGCATCAGTGCTTGAAGTCACTAACTTCTAGTCTGAGCCATGTTGGTAGATGCAGACTACTTGGTTGGGGTCCGCGTGACTATCGTAACCAATGGTTGGAGACTCTTGGTGACATGGCTCAGAATCGATCACAATGGCGTTGGTGTATACACTCCCTGTCTTCCCTTAAACTAAGAGATTAAAATCGCTTCATATCTTTCTTTCTACGAACCAATTCTTTCTTCTTGTACTATATCTCTATATGCAATCTTTCTCTTACATATTACTACCTTTGACCTAACCACTGCTATGAATCCGGTGTTCATCTTGTTGTGCTGATGCGGTATGGCAACCTGGACCGATGCACATATGTGCCTGGTCCTACGTTGTAGCTGACTGACCTCAGAAACAATGACCTGAAGGTTATCGTTGGTTAAAACTTGGAACTTCACCTTGCTATGCAATAGCTGCCTATGGTCTCAGAAACCTCTGGTCATAACGTGGAGCCGGCGGTCATGTCGATGTTGAGACCTTTAAGACTTTACCGTGTTTATTTGGCCTAAACCTAAATAATGCATACAAGCAGCCTTCCCGTACAAAATAAGAGAATGGACTGATGGCAAAGATACAGAGTACAAAACTCCCGTAAACGAGACTATCTAAACAGAAGGAGCAGAGGTGACTTGACCACATATTCTAAATTATCTAATGATGAACTAGCAATAACATGCCAACATCCTTCTCTCTCAAAACGAAATTTACGAGAAATTCCTGGAAATACTCACCCATTTGGCTAAATCGTTTCAGTTCGTGATGAAAACCCTAAATATAGTTCCTAACCTTAACGATCAACTATAAATCATAATTCTAGTTCTTCGCCCTGGTTTATAAACCTTATTTGGTCCTAGTTAGTAGGTGGGTATCCTCAAGATCACAGCGTCTCTAGGTCCTAAATCAATTATAGTCTTACCCAAATTATTTGTCAAGTGCTCATCAACTTTCTCAGCGAGTCATCAACAATGGAGCTCATTCACTCAACACGTGGTTAAAACTCCATCTTTTGACGCACTCAAAAGATGGATCGGCTGAGACCAACGCCGCTTAGACTAAAACAGGTCACCCGCCCTTCTATATTTTCTAGACTGATACTGTGACTGAGGAATGTCTTGGCAAGACAATTATTAGCATAAAGCGTACCTAATGGTCTGAGCGAAACCCCGCTAATTTTAGGAGCAGTTACAACACTCAATCCATCAGTCTTCATACTGAAACTATGTGCTTACCATCGATAAGCATATTTAATGTCATTACAATCATTTATTCAAAAAGAGGATGACTTGACCAGCAATTTATTACATGGACATATTATTTAAGAGGGATAAACCTGGAACTGTGAGTAGCACCAACACCAGGTCTGCCGTGCTTGACAGGCTTATAGGTTATTGAAAATTCTCCGAGGTAGTGGCCGAGCATTTCAGGTCTGATCTCGACAGTGTTAAATGACTTTCCGTTATAAACACCAACAACTGATCCGATCATCTCTGGAAGAACAATCATATCTCTGATATGAGTTTTGACAGCCTGAAGACAATATATTTAATAGGTACTTACAGCCGGCTTTTCACCAAAAGGACATTCTTTCTTGCTTTTCCTAAGCTTTTTTAGAAGCGTCATGTGTTTATTACGAAGTTTTTTTTTAATTCTTCTGCGTATCCGAGCAGGCATCAGCTGGGCTAACTGATCCCTAACAAAAATTTTCGGTTATATTAAAAAAACTACTCACAAGTTCATATCCAGAAGCTGGTCTAAATCAACACCTCGATAGAAGAACTTCTTGAACGGTCTACGTTTCTTGACGGTTTCTTCAGCCTACGAGCGATAGAAATATAAGAATCCACAACTTACCATTACGAAACTCAGATCGTGACTTTCTAACTTTGCCGCCTCCGACAAGAAAAGTGAGTTAAAGATTTCAAGGCTATCTAATAGTGAAAATCTTGTGCTAGCTGATACAATCTCTCACATTTTAAAGACAGACTAGCGTGAAGCTTCTAATCAAGAAACTAAAATATTGGGTAACTGGACACTTTGTGATTACTTTCTTCAGTCTTCAGTAATAAGGGTAGTAGGTTGATAAACCCGTATTAATCCTGACGCACTGCTTTCCAGTGAATGTCCAGCTTCTCCTTGAAAATATTCACTGATGATGCTGATACCACTTCTTCGGGTAAGGCGTTCCTATTATTCCGAAGCTCGTGAGCTTCTGCATAAGACCTACGTATGAAACCTTGTCAAACGCTTTGCTAAAATCCATGAATATCACGTCGACAGGCAGACTGTTATCTAGGGCTGCTGTCCAACTCTCCCTCCCAATAAGCAAGTTAGTCAAGCATGAATGCTTGTTACGAAATCCGTGTTGCTCACGAGCTAACAGATTGTGTAAATCTATGTGGTTTAGCAACCTAACCCGAATTAACTTTTCAAGTAACTTAACGACTATGCTAGTTGGACTAACAGGCCGGTAGTTAGATGCTATCTGTCTCTGACCGTCCTTAAATATAGGACTAACTATAGCATCCTTACAACCTCTAGGGAGTTGAGCGAGTGAAAGGGACATGTTGAAGAGTGTTGCGAGAGGTTTTGAAATAATGTCCACAAGAGATGACAGCAACCGTGGATGTAACCCGTCAGGGCCCGGTGTCTTACCAGGTTTGAGGTTAGCTATCAACGGAAGGACAGTTTCCTCAGTCACCTGTACAGATTCCATGGTTGGTATCTCGGTGTGAGTGGGACAAGTATTTGTTACAATAAACGTAGAGAAGACTTCGCTAAAATAATCTGAAAAAGTCTCAGCTTTTGCTCGATCTGATTCAGCTAGTAATTCTGAATTTTCGTGTAACAGCAACGGGGGAATACCATCACTACGTTTCATTCACCGTTTAACATACGAAAACAATCGTATCGGACAAGTACGGCTATCATATACTAACTGTCGTTCGTAAGTGATACGGGATTTGGCTGTGGTTTTCTCACAGATATTACGGAATTTTTGGTACTCACGCTTAAATGGTGCATGACCTGTCAACAAAAATAAGTCCCAGAAATGTTTCCTACGCTTTAACAGCTTCCGGGTTTCCTTGTTAATCCATGGAGGGCAATGTGATAGCTTACGTGCTGACCACGGGACAAACGGCGATGTTACGGACTCGAATGTAGCCTTAAACTTATTCCATTCATCTTCGATCAATCCATCCGCGTCGACCGAACAATCATTCGAGATAGCACAGTTTCTGATTGCCGGAATATTGGCCCGCCAGATATTGGGACGGGCTGGAGCAGATACGAATTGTATACCATGTGTCCTAAACTTAAAGTGAATTACAACGTGATCACTGTTCACTAGTGGAGGAAGGTGCTGGATATCAAAGACATCCTCACAGTGGTGGGTGAGGGCGAGGTCCAGCAGTGACGGATCATGTTGCAAATCAATATGTGTCGGTTTTGTGATACATTGTACAAGTGCACACTGAATAACGGTAGATAAAAGGTCGCCATCGAAACCACTACCTGGAGCTGTAAGCTCTATCCAGTTGATATGCGGTGCGTTGAAGTCTCCAATGATGAGACAACATTCTGCCATACTCCAAGAACACATGTGTCTTAGGATAAAGTCGTCAGCAAGACAAAACGTACTAAGGTATATCCCCCTATAGTCACTAACCCATTTCTAGATTTAATCTTACAACATGCAACCTCACATGTGCCACTGATATGAGCCTCCGATATGGTTGATCGTATGCGAAAGTGATCCCTAACGTATAATGTTATACCTCCCCCTTTGCGACTTGAAACTCTGTCATTTCCAATGCAGATATAGCCTGCAATGAAAGGAGAAGGGTCTATATCTACTGTGAACCAAGTTTCTGTAACAACGATTATATCGGGACATAATTCTTCCACCATCAGACTTAACTCGGATGTTTTGTTTCTAAGACTACGAGCGTTCGTGTAGCACACACTTAAGGTGTTTAGGGAATCATTCTTTCAACTCATACAGGCCTCGGAAGCATTGGCTTCCAGGACCTGACTTTCTAAGCCTAAATAGTCTTCTGATATTAGGTAGTGCTGAAAACTTGAATATTTTACAGCAATAATGCTAGTTGGAGTTCGGTATATTTTGAGAAATAGTCGGTTTGTTCCACTTGAACGAGGCTACTTTTATAGGCTGTCGTTGTTTCACTATACGTTTGTTCGTTCGGTTGTAGCGTGGCGTCGAGTTGAGATTAACTATGAACACCGCTACCAGGAAACACGTGCCAGATAAATCAGAAGGCGTAAGAAGCTAATTCCAAATGACTCCATAAAATCCCCGAGAAGCCGAATACCAGAAGACAGTTAATAGACCAAATCGAGATGTATTCGCTGGCGATCTCGTGGCATCGAAAGGATACCGAGATCGTGCCAGAATACAAGCTTGGTTACAGAAGGTAACCGAATTCGCGCGAAGTTACAATCGAAGAGTAAGCGAAAGAATGGAAGCAGAAAATAGCTGTCATTAGCACAGTCAAACAAAAGCACATTAAAACAAACACTGGTACAGTTGGTTGTAATAATAATTGTTTTTATTAAACCAGTCGTGTTCTCGTGATAAACGTGAGTCACTACAGGAGCCCCCCGCTAGAAAGGGTTTACACTTTCGATAAATAGCGGTTTGAATCGTGGGACTGATCGGCTGATGAGCGATTGTAGGACGGGAGAATTGGCGAACAGGAAAGCGATCGTTGATCGTCGAGTTGCCAACGAAGGTCGTTATCGGAGAACGGTACCAGGAGCGATGTGTTGTATTTGTTGCTTGAGTTGGCATGCTACACCAGAGTGGTTTGTATCCAGAATCTGAAGAGGGCGTTCGTAGAGGTGCGCACCAGAAACGCTGCAGACGTAGGACGAAACCACGTTGAGCCAAAAGCCAGAAGCGACCGTTACGACCAAGTTCGTGACCAAGCGTGTGCCAAGCATTCGAAACCAATATATCGACTGAGTGCGTTGACAAGAGCATGGGTGATCAGGCCAGCTTTCGCCAAAGTTGACTGAAGTCGACGGAACCAAACGGGGATGGTCGAAGGCGTGGGCTCAGGAAACAAAAAGAAAATCAAAAAAAGAGGAGTGTAGCATACGTGTAGTATAGGAATAATCCTACACCGTATCGGTTGTTGACTGTGCGACTATTCGCGGAAGCGTACGGGTAACCGTACTCGGCGACCGGAACGTGAGACGGCAGTCTCGTTCGTATTTCGTGAGCCTGCAATCTCATCCGAGGTCAGAGGCGGCGTGGTCTGCTGATCTGGACGTGAGACTGTCGTCTCGTCCGTAGACGGTGCAGATGACGCGTGCTGTTGACCGGGACGTGAGAATGAGGTCTCAGATACATCTAGCGTGGGACCTGAAGAAGATTTAAGGATCCCGCTAGGTTTGATAGGTCTAGCATTGAATCTCAGGGTGTCAGATAGGGCACTGTCATCGACGTGTGCTGGTTTGAGACGATCAATGCTGACGATCTCGACGCGTCCATATCGATCAACCTTGAAGGTCTTTTCGTGACGAGCGATCACGTGAAAAGGGCCTTCGTAAGGTTGTTGCCAAGGTTTGCGTACCGAATCTACTCGTACAAAAACATGTGAACAGGTAGATAACTCTCGAGGGAGAGCGACCTGTCGATGTTGTATTCGAGTTGACACCGGAGACAGCGTTCGCATAAATGCAGACAGTCGATGGACGTAGTCTGATTTACCGAAATTAGGTCTGCTCCGTGGTGTGAAGAATTCTCCGGGCAGACGCAATGTCGTGCCGTATACAAGTTCAGTGGCGGAACATTGGATATCTGCCTTTAAACTCGTTCTCGCCCCTAAAAGAACGAGCGGTATGGTTTCGTGCCAGTTGCCGTTTTCGTGTGCTCGTATAACACTTTTAAGTTGGCAGTGAAACCGTTCAACTTAACCGTTTGGTGCTGGGTGGTAGACGGATATGCTTATGCGTATGCATTCCGTACCAAGCAGCCGGGTCAGCGAGGAGAATCGTTAATAGGGTAACATTTCTCGAATAAAGCGTGGAATTCATCATCACGCGAATAAAAAGTGACAAGGATTCGGTACACATACGTGTGAGTCTATTATATTAATACTATTCTTATCGTTATCCGTCATGTCGCGTATATTATATATTAAAAATATGAAAATATACGACAGACGTGGATAGATAAATCATAGACTCACCGAATTGGCTTCTTTGGAAGATTTGATCAGAAGTTGAGGCGTGTTCCAAACTTTGGGATCACCAATTGTAGCGTGGCGTCGAGTTGAGATTAACTATGAACACCGCTACCAGGAAACACGTGCCAGATAAATCAGAAGGCGTAAGAAGCTAATTCCAAATGACTCCATAAAATCCCCGAGAAGCCGAATACCAGAAGACAGTTAATAGACCAAATCGAGATGTATTCGCTGGCGATCTCGTGGCATCGAAAGGATACCGAGATCGTGCCAGAATACAAGCTTGGTTACAGAAGGTAACCGAATTCGCGCGAAGTTACAATCGAAGAGTAAGCGAAAGAATGGAAGCAGAAAATAGCTGTCATTAGCACAGTCAAACAAAAGCACATTAAAACAAACACTGGTACAGTTGGTTGTAATAATAATTGTTTTTATTAAACCAGTCGTGTTCTCGTGATAAACGTGAGTCACTACACGGTCATGAAATGAAAGGCACAGTGGACAGTAGGAATAGTACACACAGAAGATAAAATAATAGTCTTAAGAACTCAATTTATCCGTATATCCAGTGCTATGGCAGTAGAAATTTTAATGAATCTTCAGAACAAATAGTTCTCCAAGTCTTCGACACTGATGCTAACCTCATTAATTTTACCAAACCCGCCCTAGCTCAAGGCGCTCATTCACGAATCCTCAACAGATCACTGCAAGGTATGAAGCGCTACGCACCTATTGAAGCAGCT